AAAACACAGTGGCGGTGAAACCTATGGTGACTACTAATTTCTGGACCTACAGATTGCAAACTAGCAACAGTACTGTATAGGTAGTCCTTGGACTTACGACACCACTGGTTTCTGAAAACCATGTCTTAAGTCAAAACGTTGTAACTCGGAACCAATTTTCTCATAAGAAACAATGTTATAAATGGGGGATTGGTTCCTGAACCAAGGCCCGATACCCTATTTTCACTAAAAATGCTCCAGAATTTTGTACTCAATCAATTATAGATGAGTAATAAAGCTACACTAATGTATTTATATTGTAAATAGCAATCGTATTGATTTGGAAGTACTTCTTTGAGGTGACTTTGCTGGACTTTTTGAAAGGCTCTTGGTTGGACTTTTTCAAGGGTTCTTGGCTAGAGTCTTCTCAGAAGTTTTGGCTGAAGGTTTTTCTGGATTCATGCCTGCTTTCTTAAAGAAAGTGTCCCAGGAAAGTTGAACAGATGTTCTCCAGGGAGATGAGCAACGCAGCGAACTTGATCCGATGCCATGCCATGCCAGCGAACAAGTGTTGTAAAGTTGAAACTGACATCATAAAGTTGAAACAGGGTGTCAACTTATAAACGTTGTAAGTGCAGAATGTTGTAAGTCAAAACGTTGGAAGTCAAGGACTGCCTGTATTTGCATTACAGGTGACGTAAGCAGTTTTTATTCTCTGTGCTAGGAAGCTATTTCAAGCAAATATATTAGTTACTAGGGGTGTGCAAAGCAGGCCATATTTGACTTGGTTTCAGCTGTATTCGAGGTACCGGGCACAGATCATAAATGCTGAGATGGTGGGGCAGTTGGAGTGTCCCACAGGAGCATGGGGACACCCCCCCCCATGCTTGGCACCATACCCAGAATACTTCCAGTCCACTTCCAGGTCCACTTCCAAGTGCACGGGGGGGTGCCCTGTCCCCCCCGGCTTGGCAATTGGCCATGGGGGGATCCCAGGTGCCCCCCCAAGACCCAGGAGGCACCAGTTGCTGAGCCGGGGAGTGGGTCCCCCATGCACTCTACGGAAGAGCTTCTGGTCCACTTCTGGGTCCACTGCCAAGCACACTGGGGACCCCCCTGCACTCCTGTGGGACATTCCATCTGCCCCAGCATCCCATCATTTGCAAGCTACGGGGTACCTCGAATTATGTAGAAAAAACACCTAAAGCTGTGTCTATGACTGAATCATTGAATCTCTCCAAATCAATTCGAAGGGTTCCAATTCGATTCACAGAGATTAAAGGGTCTTCTGATTCAGAGATTCAGCCACCAAATCGGGCCAAATCTCTGCCGAATCGAATCTTCGACCAAGCTTTACACAGCCCTATTAGTTACTACGTTAGTAACTGCTGCTTAGGGGGAAAAAAACTGCTGACGTGTAGTGGGAAACGGGTCCCGGCACTTTAAACTCAGCATGTTCCTGCACTGAGCCCACCACATTCTCAGAAGAGGCAGAACATTAGTCGCACCCAGCTTTCCCAACATTTGTATCGATTTGGCACTTTTATCTAATAGCTGATTGAATCAGCTTTAGCTAAAAGCACCACAAAGTCTCACTGAAGTGCCTGATCTATGCAGATACTGCAGAGACAGATCAAAATAATGCACTGCTGCTTCCAGTAGAGTGGAGGTTTTTTGTTTTGTTTTTTCCATGTCTGTCAGTGCCCAAGGAACACTTCTCAATGGAGGTGACTGCAAGATGTGGCAAGATGTTTGCTCAGTCTCTATATGATGTTGGTACAGGGGACAAGATGAGGGAGTCTAGTGCCACAGAGGTTTATTTCCTACTTATCAAGGAAAAGGGAAAGATCCCTGTGGAGACAATCTCTTCTACACAGTTTGTAGGAAAAACAGCAGTGCCTAAACAAAAACAAAGCAAGCAGAGAGGTAGCCTTGGAGTACTGTGTCCACTTGAACTGGGCTGTCCCCAAACCAGTTCTTTCTAACCAATTTTTCCATCTACTTCCAGATACATTTGTGCCTTTGAAATATCATGATTCATCATGAGCTGATAGTTATGGTTAAAATAAGCCTGGGACTCTCCAATTTGGGTAATTAGCTGTAGTAAAATTTTGGGCTTACTGTAGTCCCTTCAGTGGGGCCAGTTTTTTTGGACCATGTTTGTGATCCTGCCTAACAAGTATGAAAGAACATGATATATGTGTAGTAGGCTCCTGTCTCTGCATTTATACTATGATTGTTTGGAAATCACCCCCAACCATCCAATGTTTTGCAAAATCAACTTTATGTTGTGATCTTGCCCTGTAATTTCCACCAGAGAGAATAAGGGAGATGACTTTCTTGGCTAAAAAAAAGAAATTATGTTAATGTTTCTATGGCTTCAGTTATTTCTCTCTTGAATAAGCCAACTCTATTTGCCCCCTGTTTTCCGCATAGTTTTGGCGGTAGAGATTCCTATATATGCTCTCTAGAAGCTGTTGTAGGTTATGAAAAACATTATTCTTTGTAACAGCAGAAAAATAGCTTGATTCTGTCTTCTTTTTTTTTTAAATTTACCAGCAGGGAACTAATTGCAGGAGTTGCATGCTGAGCTTTACTGCCACAGAGGTGGGCTATTAGCAACCTTCCTGCTTTCTCACAGTGGTCATGATGATGTCTTTTGCTAAAGGTGAAATAACACACAGTCCATTTTTAATACTTATAATGTAGCTCAGTTTGAGCCTCTGGAGGCAGTAAATGTTTTGAAAGTTTGCATATTGAATCTCACTTTTTTTTGTCTTGTTCCACCACAATCTGCAGGCTTAAATCCTGAATTAAGAGCTTGATGCCATCCTTGTTGAAGTAGAGAGTAAAATTTCCATCAATTTTAATAGTTCAGGATTGTGTTTAACATGCATACCTTTAAGTCAGTGGAGGATAGTCCAAGAATATTACAGTGCTCTTACATGGCATATAAACCCTGATGACCCATTCTTCCTACTCTGAGTGACTGGCTGAGCTGTAAAAATCTTTGCTTTGTGAAAGGCTTCAATAATTAGGATCTACTGAACTCTTGGTGGCCGTTGGCCGATTTCATGCACAGACCACAGGGCTGCAGCCATTTTCATGGGGGGAGCACAGTGGGCCCCCAATGCCTTTGATTGGCCGAGGGGCTCCAGTGTCCCTGTCCCTCACTTCTGATTGGCTGCAAGTGTTGTCCATCATGTGGCCCCATCCCTAACCAATTAACACCCCATGTATTGACCACACAGCCACGGTTTGCCACACAACAGAAAAGCATCTCTAAGGGATTTTGACCTGGAAAGTCTGCAGCATGGTGACCAGCACCCATGGTGGGGTTAATGCCACTGCTGCTCACCCCATCACCACCAAATGACATGTCCAACAGGGAACTTGACTTGGAAATTCTGCGGCTAGATGAGTGGCAGCAACATTAACTCCTTGGGTCCTGGCCCTGCCTATTAGTGGCTCTGGCAAAGAGGGGTTAATGTTGCAACCTCTTACCCTGGTACAGAATTTCTCACAGACCACATGCTGCCATTTGGACAGCACTGGATGTGAAGGTATGCCATTGCTGTTGCATTAATATTTATGAAGCTAACTGACAGCTCTGTCAAATACAAGCATCAAAACAAAGTCAGTAAAAAAAATATTTGGATATTTCAATTAACTTGCTTCTGTCACCATGGCTTCTAGCAGACATGGAAAAAAAAATACGTGCTTTACTGGAAGAGGCAATGCTCCACAGAGTCTGCATAGATTGTGTTCTTCAGCAAGGCTTTTTGGTACTTTTATCTACAGTTGATTCAATCAGCTATTAGATAAAAACACCAAAAAAGCCCTGCTGAAGCACCTGATCTATACAGACGTTGAGTGAGCCAGGTCAAACTGACATGATGCCTCTTCTGGGCACCTGCTGGGCTCAGCGTAGGGGCACACTGAGTTTTAAAGTAAAACACTGGGGGTTTTTTCTTTTTTCTTTTTTTTTAAGTCTGTAAGCAGCTCGTGTGGTTGATAAGCTAATGCAGATAAGAAAGTAATAAAGCTCTTAACTATGAAACTTACATATCGGAGATAGGTCAAGTCTAGAACTTCAGTTTTGATCCTTTTGAATTTCAGAATAAGCTTTGATTCCAGGTCCTATCCAATTCCAGATTCAGAGTTAGGTGAAACTGAAATGTTGTGAGATGAGCTGTTTTTATGAGATTTCTGCCATTTGGGCCTAAAGAATAACCTATGTCAAATCTGCACCATTGCTTACTTAAGCAGTGAATACAGGCTTCACAATTCATCTCTATTTAAAATATATTTTCAATATGTGCAACCTGGACCTTGACACTACAGAGTTTAGATGGACTTCTTTATCTAGGCTGTTAACAAGAATCTATTTAGTGGCATAATTATGCAGTTGTAATAGATTCCAAGAAGTTAATAATAAACCCAGGAATATACTACGCGACCAGAAGTATTATTACTTTAAGTTAACAGCATTGTTTTAAGCAATAATTTTAAGCTCTTTTCATTCAAATGATCTTTCCACGCTTCTCTAGGAAGGCTTTCCATCATGAGCTGCAAGAGTTTACACACAGTTGCCTGACATAGCTGCCACAGGAGCATTGCTAAAAGAGAAGTCCCTAGCTGGAACCCTGCATCCAAGCACTTGTGAATACTATGGTGCTCAAAATTTGGCTCTCAGTTTTATCTCTTGGACCATATCTAGTACAGATGTGTAGTCAGCCACTTCGTGAGTCAACTATTTCTTGACATTGGAAGGGCTGGTTCTTTCCATCTCCTGAAGGTAAATACAAAGGCCAAATCTCCACCCCTTCTGAACATAACATTCTCTTTTGATATGCTATATAAAAGCATACAGTTTTAAGCTTAAAGACAGATTAAAATCACTGCTTCGCTCCATAAAGAAACCTTCTGACTAGCTGGAAAGATGAAGCTCTCTGTTCTCTTTGGTTTGCTGTTTGTCTTGATCCTGTGTTTCAGTGCCTTTTCTGCAGAAGGTAGTGAATTCCTTTATCTATGACTGCATTCTTTTTTCTCATTCTTTTACTTTTCAGTTTAATGTATGTATTTTTTTTATTTTAAGGTTGATCTTATGGTCTATAAATCAGCTAAAACCTAGTATTCAGGGAAGGAGGGTAGCAATTAACTTTGAAGAGAATCTGCTGGATTTGGTCTTGTATCAATGTTTTCCACTTTATATAAGGACTACCTTTGCAAGGCAATCTTTCACTCTTTGTTGCACGTTGTATATTGCAATCACTGTATTGTTCTTCCTCTGGGCAGTCTATTGTTACATTTTCCAGAAAACACCTCTTTGGCTATTCTTACTGGTGAACTTCATAAAAGTAGTCAATTTCCTGATTAGCACAAACCACACTGGCATAATGACACTCTGTTTGTACTAATGGGACAAAGGGCCATTCAACCAAATTAAATTTTAAAAAGCTGAGATAAAAAGGCAATCACTTTATACCTTTACACCTCAGGTTTTTTTAAATTATCCTATTGCCTTTTCACCAAGCAGTCAGTACTTTTATTTTCCCAGTATTATGAACTATTTGCCATTACAGAATAAGTTTAATTTTCATTAAATATTGCTGTTCAATTAAACCAACATAGTTTATATTCATCAACCCAGCACAACATGTCTGGTTCTATTTTAATTCTGGGTTTGCAGGGAGATAATCTACAGATCATTTTCCAGTTTTAACCTTCTCTGTTGTTACCTACTGATATCCAGTAGTGAACTTGGCTTTCCAGAATCTCAGAGGGAGGTCCATGCTTCTCCTGTACAGCTTATTTTCCATATAGATGTAGACAATGAAAATCAGATATCCATAACAAACAGACTGAATGTCCAAAGTTTAAGTGGGGCAGTTTTCTTCAAAATAACCCAATTACAGAAAATATAGAATATTATTGAAAGATCTCGTAAGTCATTTTATGGGTGAATCTGATAAGTAGAAAGGCTCTGCTGCAGTGAAACAGGTTAAACAATTACTTGCAACTAGCCCAGTTTTTAGATGTGTCAAAATTGCTTCTGATTTCTGTTTATGGTTTCTCTATTTGCCAAAATTTAAGTGAACAAATGTCACTCTGAGCTGCTTGTAAATAATTCTCTTCCAGAACGATGATGATAACCCGCATGTTAAAACACACGCTACCTCACTACATACATAACACACCTCACTGAGTCTGCTGGGGGAGAAAAGGGACTGCACAGAGAATATTGTTTTATTTACAAACAAATATATTGATCTAAGCCAGTTTATCAGTAATATGAGGTGAAGCTGCTAAATTTTGAGTGAGGCTGCCAAAGCATTCTGTTAGGTGATCACCAGAATCCAAGAAATCTGTTTATGACAGAAAAATGCAGAAAAATGTAGAATTTGTGTTTTTACAGCGATTCTTTAGAACTGCCAGGGAAAAAAAACCTTACTGAAGATCAAATGCAGGCTCCTGCTGGGGTAAGGAGAAGCTGCTGGCACATGGGGAAGCAGCCAAGATGATGGCTGAGAGGGCTGCCCATTGTGTGGCCTTGCCCCTCTCAACAAATTAGTGGTGAGGGATGGGGCTACCTAAAGGGCAGCCCTCTCAACAAATCATTAGTGAAGACAGGGGCTGCCGCTGGGGGACCCCTTGGCCGATCAGCATTGTGAGGGGGCTCACCACAGAAAAAACATGATTTTTTAATTCTTTTTTTTGCCAGAGAACTTTGGGTTTTTTAATCACGGAAAACTAGGATCCCTAATGATCATGCATCAGTGCAGTTATAAACCACAAGAATGGGGTGGCGGGGGAGCTTTAATGGGAAAGAAGGTTCTAAGCCACCAATTAGTCTAGTGGTGGGAGAATAAAGCAGCACTCCCATCAAGCTAAAGCAGATCAACTGGTCTTACTCAACCCAACAGCTCCAATCTCAGACCAAACTACTTCATGCCTACTGGTTCCTTTCCTCTCACAACTGGTCAATTCTTGGCTGTGTTTACAGTAAGAATTGATGGAATTTCTCCCCATCATGGTCTAGGCCAGGGATGAGCAACTATTTCTGCTAGAGGGCTGCTTAATGAGTTTTGATGAGCTGTCAAGGGCCACAAACCAAAATCTTTCAGAAGATACCATTTTAACAAATTATAGATAAAAATGAATTGTATACTAAAAAAATCAAACTTTCATCTTAACATTTTAATTTTATTTTAAAAATAATAATTTTGTCCTGATTTGTTTTCTGAGTAGTGTATATAGAGGTGATTGCATAATAGTTCAAAATAAAGTCTTACTCTTGTATAGTGTGTGTGGGGGGAGGGCAGCTGTAGGGATGGGTGTGCAGAGGAGTGGGTGTGTGGGGGGCTGGGTGTGTGTGTATGTATGGAGGCTGCCCTCATGCTAGGTCCTGGGAGTTAGCTGGGGGTGCGGAGAGGAAGGGACGGGGGGCAAGGGGAATGTGCATGAGAGCTCACCTGGGCAGTGCAGGTGCAGTCTGTCCCCCCTATCCATCCTATGGCTGCCCTCATGGTGCTCTGCATAAAGCGAATCCTCACCTCCTCCCCCCATCCCTAGTCCTGGTCAACATGCACAGCTTCCCAATGGGGCCACTTTTGGTGTGGCTGGAGCTGCCTGGGTACTGTTCAGCTCCCCCCACCTCCAGTGGCTCCTCCTCCTCTACCTGCCCCTGCTGCACTGCTCTGGGCAGCAGGCAGTGTGAGGAACCCATGGGGACGTGCACTGGACAGCAGATGCCCAGCCAAGCAGGGGGGAAGCTGCAGCCAGGTGGCTTCTGCCCCAGTATGCAAGGCTCCAGCTTCTGCTCACAGCCATCTTCCATCCACTCTGCCTGCCTGGCACAATAAGCAGCCGTTTGTGGGTGGCCACCTGTGGGCAGGGGGAACCGAACAATACCCAGGCAGCTGCAGCAACGTGGAGAGCAGCCCACCAGGAAGCTGTGTGCACTGGCCGGGGCCAAGGTGGGTGGGAGCACAGTGTAGCCTGCCCCTGGTGGAAGCAGGTGGGACTCATCCCCAGGTAGAGCACCATGGGCCAGATATAATCAATTGGTGGATGCCTGCCCATGGGCCAGATAAAATCAGTTGGAAGGCCATATCTCGTCCGCAGGCTGTATTTTGCCCAAGCCTGGTCTAGCCCTAGTATAGCCACCCTATTTCCAGCAATGATCAGAATACCTGTGTGTGCACGTTGGTGCTGGGAACAGGAGGAATGCAGTGTTATCTAAACCTTTTCAGAGCTTTTCAGAGCTGAACAGCCTAGATAAAACTACACTGGTAAAAGTATCCAAGTACATTGCTATGTTCTTTATGCATCTCTCTGGCTCTGTATCCATTGGTAACATGTTCTGGTTTTTTTTCACTCTTAGGTCGGAGAGTTAAAAATTGCTGCAGAAAATTAAAAGATAATAAAATCATCCATAAAGGTAATGACTCCCCTTTCATTATATTAATTAGTAAATGTTTAGTCATATTTGGCACTATAATGCTTTCCATCTGTAAACTTATAGCACCTTTCACCAAAGTCAGTTGTCATAGAATCATAGAAAAGTAGGGCTGGAAGAAACCACAGGAAGTCATCTAGTCCAGCACCTGGGCCAAGGCAGGATCATCCCTGATTAAACCATCCCAGCCAAGTGTCTTTTTAACCTGTTCTTAAAACTTTCAAAGGATGGAGACTCCATAGTCTCCCTGGGTAGCATGTTTCAATGCTTAACCAAACCCCATGGTGAGAATGTTCTTTCTAATTTCCATTTAAATTTCCCTTCATGCAACTTGAGACCACTTCTTTTCCATGCTGCCCCAGAAAAAAATCTATCTGCATCTACAGTATAAACCACCCTTCAAGTATCTGAAGACTGTTATCAGATACCCCCACCATCTTCTCTTCTCCAAACTAATTGCTGTATTTACTCAAATCCAAAATGATTTTGAATTTTTAAGATGACTCCCCTCAATTATTTATATTCCATGTATGGAAAATATAACTGTGGCAGTGGGAGTGAAGGGCCAGACCCCTGCCCCTTGCTCCCTTGCCCTGTACTCCCCTTCCATCTGCCCCTTCATGCCTGTGCCTGGCTCCCAACCCCCTGCTGTCCCTTGTACCTCCTCTCATCACTTACCTTCTGGTGCAGCTCTACACTTCCAGGACAGGCAGCAACAGCAGTGACCAAGGCATGGCCCCAGCCAAACCTCACTAGGGAGAAGTGGTGGCATGCCTCAGATAGGCCAGGTCAGGGCTGGCAGGACTGGACTTCATAGTTTCATAGTTTCATAGTTTCTAGGGTCGG